CCCCGTGAAACACAACTGACCTTCAGTGGCAAATGGCTTCTGCCCTGCCCTGCTGTGAAGCCCTGGCAAAGCACAGTGGGCTGGGGCTCCTTGCTGCAGGAACTCCATTTCTCAGAGGTGGGGGTACAGCCCAGGGGACATGGGGAGGGGCTGCAGGTTTACAGAGATTCACAGCAGATGCTGGTGCTGCAAAATAAGGGGCTTCAGGAAACTCGAGCAGTGCCAGGATTGAGCCAGGGCTCTGGCAGCTGCAGAGCATCTGAGTCTGTCCAGGACGTGTCTGATCCACAGCACAGCTGCACTGTGACACCACTGCAGCTCAGCAGAGCACCCTGTGACACCAGACCTGTCAGACTGCTGGGCTAGATGCCCGCTTGGATTTTCATCCTCCAAATTCTCCTGCCTTTCCCCCCACCATCATGACCAGCCAGGGGACCATGCGTGTCAGGACTCTGCAGGGACCACACAGGTGCCGAGGGTGAGGAGCACCTTCTTTCTCCTCCTTCATACCCCCCACATAGGGACAACTCCAGTGTCATCCTGACCCTCTCTTCTCTCCCCACAGCCCCTTGGCCTTGGGACAGGCACCATCAAGCCACTCACACGCCCCCTTGCCAGATCTTTTCCCTCCTCTCCCATACGCAGCTCCTGCCACAGATACCGTGGGACGTATTTTCCTCTCGACCTGCAAGAAAATTATACCCCTGTACCCAGCCAGATATGAGTTCACGTTGCCGCCCTTTTTTAGGCACCTCCAACAATTGCCACGTTTTGTTGTTGTTTTTTCAACATCAAACCTGCATTTAACCCAAAAAACCTGAGGCTGCCTCACATCCAAGCACTGCGGGGCAAGAAGGGGTTAAACACCAAGCTCTGCCTTCCCAGCTATTTCAGAACACTGGTCCCTTATTGCCCCACTGGCCACCCAGGTCACCTCCCTACCCTCTGGTGGCCTTGAATTTTGAATTCCCCGTGGCACCAGCACACCGAGCAGTGCTCTCTGCCAGCACCCCAAACCTGGCCTCAAGTCCCTGCCACCTCCGACAGCCCTGGGTGGAGAGACCAAGGTCTGACCCCCAAATCCCCCCCCAAAATCCCCCCACAGCCTCAGCCAGGCTGCCCCAAGCAGCTCTGCCTTGGTTCTACAAAGAAAGAAAAACCCAGCTCACACATTTTAACCTTATAATAAGCCAAACAAATGTAAAACAACCAAAAACGTAAAAAAAAAAACCCAACAATAAAAAGCCAAGTACAAGAACATTTAGGATGACAGTGGTGACACCAGAATGGTGGGGGAAATGAGATGGGGAGAAGGTGGCCAGGCTAAAGCTGGCACCCTCAGGCTGTTGGGGAGGAGGTGGCTGAGTCAGAGATGAGAGGACTGGCAGGGCTGGCAAAAAGATGCAGGAATTTCACTTCACTGTGTGACAAATTGGACTGAGGTATGTTCATGAAGACAGGGAACAGATCTGGGTGCAGAAAGAAGGAGCAATTATAGATGCCAAAACCAAGACAGGAGCTGGCACTGCAGAGGAGCTGGCAGTGGAGGCACAGAACAGCTGCTCTGCCCCACCAGGCAAGATACCTCATCAGCAAAAAAATCAAGAAATTGATATTGTTCAAAAAAAACACCATTCTCTTTTTTTCAGTTCAAGATACTTATTTGATGTTGAAGATCATCCAGTTCCAACCCTCCTGCACGGTCAGGGACACCTCCCACCAGACCAGGTTGCTCCAAGCCCCATCCAACCTGCCCTTCCAACACTGCCAGGGATGGGGCAGCCCCCGCTTCCCGGGCAACATGTTTCGGTGTCTCACCACCCTCAAGCTAAAGAATTTCTTTCTAATGTCTACCTTGAATCTACCTTCTTCCAGTTTAAAGCCATTACTCCTTTTCTTATCACTACAGGCCCTACTAAAAAGTTTGTCCCTATCTTTCTTATAGATCCCTTTCAGGTACTGGAAGGTGCTATAAGGTCACTTTGGAGCCTTCTCTTCTCCAGGCTGAACAGCCCAACTCTCTGAGCCTGTCTCCAGAGCAGAGCTGCTCCAGCCCTCCCATCATCTCTGTGGCTCCTCTGGACTCTCTCCAGGAGCTCTATGTCCTTGTGTTGGGAGCTCCAGAGCTGTACACAGCACTCCAGGTGGGGTCTCAGCAGAGCAGAACATAGGGGGATAATCCTCAGCTGGGTGGACAGGCCAGATTGGCAGCTGCACGCACAGTGAGGAGCAGCAGCCTGGCCTCAGATCCTCCAGACATGCAAGGAATGTCCATCCTACCTCTT